TTTATTTTATCATGGAAGTAAAGAGAAGCTGGCTATAATAGGATTTTCCTATCAACAATCTCACTCTGAAACTTGTTTCACTACTACATTATTTTATTTAAATACAAAATATTGCATAGCAAGCAACAGAAATAGAAAATAGCAAATATCCATGTACCCACCATTCAGTTTTATGAAATCAAAACATTTTGTCATATTTAACTTCATATCTTTTTAATTTGAATGAAACATTATGAACACACTTGGAAGCCTGGTTTGTACCTCCTCCCTATATGATTTTTCACCTCCTAGAAAAAGACATTAGCATGAAGTTGATGTTCTCTTTTTAAAAATACATATATATATGAAGAATATATAGGATTATTTAGTGGTTTCTTAAATATTACATGAACTAGGCATCCAGCAGTTGAGATATTCTAACAAACCTTGCTAAAATAGGGCAGCAGAGGCTTAATGAATTATAACAAGAATCTCTATAAATATAAATTGAACTCGCACATAGGTAGGGAAATCTGGAGGTGCAAAAACATAGAGGTCAATTAAAAGTCGTAAGGGAGCACTCAAGTTCCAGCTGGGGGAATGGTAACTAAGACTCCCACATAAGGCGTGCACTTTGTATTACAATCTGTTTTTCTATGTCATTGCAAACACTTACAAATGTTAGACTTTTAGGTTTTACACATGAAAAATGACAATAAACAACTGGTGGCTTTCATTTGCTTTTCTTTGGTACTAATAAGGGTGAACGTCTTTTCATGTGTTCATTTGTCATTCTCGCTACACCATTTGTCACCTTCACGAAATGTTCACCCATTTCTCCCTTAGGTTGACTTTTGCTTATTTATTTGGAGGACCTCCTTATATATGCTGAATGCTTACTTGACATGCCACTGTACTCTTATTATAATGTCTAAAATTAAAACGATTGACCACATCAATTATCATTGAAGACACAGAGCAACTGGAAGTTTCATACACTATTGGAAGGAATATAAAATGGTACAACCACATCAGAGAATAGTTTAGTGGCTTCCTAGAAAGTTAGAAGACAACTACCACATGATGTAGCCATTCCACTGCTTTTACCAAAGCAAAATAAAAGCATACATCCTTACAAAGACTTGTACATGAATATAAAAAGCTTTTGCATAGAGCTTTACCTATAATGGCAAAACACTGGAAATGATCCAAATCTCAATCAATGAGTAGATGAATAAATAAACTATTGAATGGAATACTGCTAAATAAAAAAAAAAAATGAACTATTAATATACACTCCACCATGGATGATCTTAAAATAATTATGGTAACTGAAACAAGCCAGGCCAAAAAGAGGGGAAAAAAAACAGGGTACACATCATAGCATTCCATTTATAAAAATCTAGAAGGTATAAATTAATCAATAGTGACAGAAAGTAGAAAAATGATTACCTAGGGTGAGGAAATGTAAGGAAGGGCAAGAAGGAGAGATTACCAAGGTACAGAAGGAAAATTTGGGAGTGATGAACATGTTCATTACCTCGACTGTGATGGTGGTTTCATGAGTATATACATACGTCAAAATTAATGAGTGTGTAAATATGTTTACTTTACTGTATGTCAACTTAGCCTGTATACTTTAAACATGTATAGTTTATTTTATATCAATTATAACTCAATAAAGCTGTTCCTTAAAATTTTGTAGGAATAGTAGGAGAAATAATGCTAATATCATCCTCAGTGGGAAAAAACTGAGCCCCCTAAGGTCAGGAACAAGACAGGGATGTCCACTCGCGCCACTGTTATTCAACATAGTATTGGAAGTCTTAGCCTCTGGAATCAGACAACACAAAGAAATAAAAGGCATCCAAACTGGCCAGGAGGAGGTCAAACTTTCACTCTTCACAGATGACATGATACTCTATATGGAAAACCCAAAAGATTCCACCAAAAAACTCCTAGAACTGATTCATGAATTCAGCAAAGTTGCAGGATATAAAATCAATGCACAGAAATCCGTTGCATTCTTATTCACCAAGAATGAAGCAACAGAAAGAGAAATCAAAGAATCGATCCCATTTACAGTTACACAAAAAACCATAAAACACCTAGGAATAAACCTAACCAAAGAGGTGAAAAATCTATACACTGAAAACTATAGAAAGCTTATGAAAGAAATTGAAGAAGACACAAAAAAATGGAAAAAGATTCCATGCTCCTGGATAGAAAGAACAAATATTGTTAAAATGTCAATACTACCCAAAGCAATCTACATATTCAGTGCAATCCCTATCAAAGTAATACCAGCATT